GCGTCGGTGATCTCGTTGGTGACGACGATCTTCACGGGAAATGTCCGCGAACGCTCGTCGCCTTGCGGGATGATCTCCGACACACGACCGACGAAGAAGCGGCCTTTGAGCGCCGGCACTTCGATGTTGACCTCCGATCCAGGCATGACGAACGGGATGCTCTGCTCGACAACCTGGGCGACGACCTCGACCTCATCAACGGCGATGACCTCGGCGACGGGATCGCCCTGGTTAACCCACTGGCCTTCCTCGGTGCTCTCGGTGACGACGTAGCCGGCGAATCGAGAGATGATGGTGTGCTTGGTGAGCTGGTCGGCGAGCCGTTCGGTGACGGCTTCTTGCATGGCGACCTCGGCGGCGGCCTGCGCGATCACTTCTTTACGATTCCCTGCGACGGCCAGGTCGTAGGCTGCTTTCGCTTCGAGGTACGCCCCCTCGGCCTCGGCCGCTAGGGCGATCGCCTCTTCGTACTCGTCGTCGGTGATGACCTGCTGTTGGTGATAGACCTTTTCGACACGGCTGCTGCGGGCGTTGGCGAAGTCCCGACGCGCCTGGGCGGCCGCCATCCGCGCGCGGGCCTGAGCGATCTCTTCGGGCCTCAGACCATTCCGTAATTCGGCGAGCCGTTGGCGGCGAAGCTCGAGCTCGGCCTTCGCCGCGTCGAGTTCGAGGTTGATCGTGTCGGTAAGCAACTGGGCAAGCGTCTGCCCTGCTTCGACGCGGTCGCCTTGGTTGACCGGGAACTCGACGACGCGACCCGCGACAGCGCTGCCGATCGTCGCCCGGCGGAGCGGCTGGACGGTGCCGACGAAGGTCTGCGAGGCGGCGACCGTGCGCGACTCGACCGGCGCGATCACCACGCCGGGGGGCGGGGCGCCTGGAGGCTGGGCGTAGGCCACGGCACTCAAAGAAGCCGCCGCAAACGCAAACAGCAGGGAAGGCTGGGAGGACATGGTTACCTGACCAGGGCGGGGGCTTCGAGGTTTTCGCGGACAGCGGAGAGCAACCGGTGTAGCTCGTCTTGATCGCGACGGCTGAGACCCGCGACGGCTTGTTCGCGGACGGCGCGCCCGCAGTCGGCGATCCGCCGCCACTGCTTCTTCGCGGTGGGAAGCGGGTGGATGAGCTTCTTACGGGCGTCGTCCTCGCAGGGGCGGCGCTGGACGAGCCCGGCCTCTTCCATGCGGTCGATCACGCCGACGAGGTTCGGCGGCTCGACGAGCAGCATGTCGGCGATCTCACGCTGCGTCATCGGGCCTTCGGCCGCCAAGCAGCCGAGCACCTGGGCTTGGCGGAAAGTGATGCCGTGCGGCGCGAGGGCCTGCTGGAGCGAACGCATGAAGGCGTGGTGGCCCATCGCCATCCAGTAGCCCACGCTCGCCTCGAAGTCGTACTGCAACATGACGCTCCCGCCAGCGGAAGTGACAATATTGTTATAGTAGTAACTATCTGGCGGATGACCAGTTCACCGGCGGGTGGGCGGTCCGCTGAGTGAGGCAGCCTACGCTGGCAGCGGCCGCGGGCGTTTAGTCGATGAACCGCGGCGGTTGGGCGTTTTCGCCAGAGGCCTCAACCGCGGGCCTCTGGTCGCCTCCGAGCCCGAAATCGACCCGCTCGAGGACGACGCCCTGGGCGTCGAGCAGGCGGATCGTCGGGTCTTCGGCGATGATCTTAGAGTCACGCACGACGACATCCACGGCGTCGGCCAGGTTCAGTGAGCCTTTGCTTTGGAGGTTGAGCCGTTCGAGGACGAGCCGCGTCGCGGGGCTTTCGGGAATGCCCTTCACTTTGACGGCGTCGCCACCGGCTTGCCCCACGACATCGCGGACGGTGATGCCGCGGTAGTGCGGCGTTGCGGGGCCAACGGGTCGGCGTGGCAGCCGCTCGCCGAGTTCTCCGACGTACAGCGGCGAGCCGATCATATCGAAGAAGATGGCGTGACTCAGGGTGCGTAGCCTTAGCCGCTCGACGACGAGGTGGTCGCCGCCGCCGCCGCGCGGCCGACGCGTCTTGAAGTAGGCGCCGAAGCTGACGCCGTCGAATACGCAGTCGTGGACATAGACGTTGCGGACGCCGCCGGCGGTCTCGCTGCCGGTGGTAAACCCACCGTAGCCGCCCTGGGCGTAGCAGCGACGGATGACGACGTTCTCGGACGGCTTGTCAACGCGCAGCCCATCTTCGTTGCGGCCCGACTTCACGGCGTAGCAGTCGTCGCCGGTGTTCGTCGAACAGTACTCGATGAGCACGTTGCGACTCGAGTCGACGTTGACGCCGTCGCCATTGACAACGCCGAGGCTGTCGATCGTCACGCCGCGCACGACGACACGGTTGCAGTAGATCGGCACGACGTTCCACATCGGCCCGTTGCGGAGTGTAACGCCTTCGATGAGCACGTCTTGGCAATCAACGGGACAGATGAAGTACGGCCGGAAGTAATGGCGATCTTCTTTCCCGTCGAAGACGCGCGAAGCGATTGGCGATTCGGGATCGACAATCTCGTCCGACAGTCCCTTGCGAGCCTCACGCACAGGGCCGCTATCCGGGCCGAGAAGGACGCCGCGGCCGGTGATAGCGATCCGCTCTTGCTTGTGGGCGTATACGAGGCCGCCGAGGCCCATCATCTCGAGCCCTTCACAGCGGGTGAACACGGGCGGCAGGTAGTCGGCGATCTCGCCCGCGAAGCGAAGCACGGCGCCCTCTTCGAGGTGCAGGTCGACGCCCGAACGCAATGTAATTCTTCCGGTCGGCCAATCGCCGGTGGGAACCACGAGGCGCCCACCGCCAGATTCAGCAAGCCGATCGATCGCCGGTTGAATGGCGCCCGGCTTCGGCGGCAGCGGCAGCCGTACTTCGCGATCGGCGAACTTCGGGCGTCCGAACGTCGGCATCGGGAAGGGCGCCGCGATCGGTTCGATCTCGTCAGGCATCGCCGCGGGGCCTACATCCTTGTGGTCGAGCCTTCCTGCCGCGTCGGCGTATGTTAGCGGCGTTGCGATGTACAGGACTAAGCCCGCTATCAAGACAGGGAGCCACGAGAGCCGAACGCGCCGCGATAGGCTATAAGTCGAAATACTTCTCATTACGCTGGGGTCTCCCTGATGCTTCGACGCGACTTCCTGAAGACAACGGCAGCCGCCGCGGTCGCTAGCGTGACGCAGCCGACCTTCGCCGCAACCGAGCCGCCGCGCTACCGCGTGGCCGTGTGCGACTGGATGATCCTCAAGCGGCAGAAGCTCGCCGCGTTTGGTCTCGCCGACGAGATCGGCGCCGACGGCGTCGAGGTGGATATGGGCGGGCTCGGCCAGCGTGAGACCTTCGACAGCGCCCTTGCCGACGCTGCGACGCGCGAGAAGTTCCTTGAAGAGTCTGCTAGTCGTGGCGTGGCGATCTCTTCGATCGCGATGTCGGGCTTCTACGCGCAGTCGTTCGCTGAGCGGCCCACCGTGCCGCGAATGGTGGGCGACTGCCTGGAGACGATGAAGGCGATGGGCGTGCGGGTCGCGTTCTTGCCGCTGGGCGTGCAGTCGGACCTCGTGAAGCATCCGGAATTGCGGCCCGCGGTCGTCGAGCGGCTCAAGCGCTGTGGCGAGCGAGCGGCCGACGCGGGGCTCATCCTCGGCGTCGAGACCGCTTACGACGCGTCCCGTGAGGCCGAGTTGATCGACGAGGTCGATTCGCCCGGCGTGCGGAGCTACTTCAACTTCGCCAACGCGTTGCAGAACGGCCGCGATCTGGTCAGCGAATTGCAGACGCTCGGCGCCGGACGCATCTGCCAGATCCACGCCACCGACGAGGACGGCGTTTGGCTGGAAAACAATACGCGTCTCGACATGGCCGCCGTCAAAGCGGCGCTCGACGCGATGGGTTGGTCGGGCTGGCTGGTGGTCGAGCGATCGCGTGACGCCAGTGACGCTCGCAACGTGCGGCGTAACTTCGGAGCGAACGTCGCGTACTTGAAGCGGGTGTTTCAAGGCGCCTGATCCTGCGAGTTGAAAGCCGCGCGCTCACGGCGAGCAACCACAGCGGGGTCTTCGTCAGCGCTGAGCGGCGCAATCGCGAATCGCAGCGTGTGCTCAACGGGCAACACCGCGTATCGCTTCAGCACTCCCGGCCCGCAACTGCTGTTGCCCAGGCCGCACTGAGCGGCGTCGATCGACAGGACGGACTCGGCACGCGGCTTGAGATCGACCCAGCGCTTCGCCGTGGCGAGGTCAGCGGCGGTATAAGGGAGCGCCGAGAACGCGAAGGGGTCGCCCGTCGCTGCGACAACGAGACCCTTGCCGTCCTTGTCAGTCACTGCCGCCCAGCGTGTCTCTTCATGAGAGCCAGTCTCCTGCGGGCGCGGGTACGGCGTCGCTTGTTCGCAGACAACGCCTTGATAGCGGCCGATGTCGCACGCCGCTTGGCGATCGGGATAACTCTCCCACGGGCCGCGACCGAACCAGTCGATTTGATCCAAGCCGGCGACTAATGAAGTCACGACGCCCAGTCGCGGCAGGGGCGGCAACCGACCGGTGGGTTGGAAGCGGCATTCAGCGGCAATCTCGCCAGCGCCGTTAATACGCCATGTTGTTACAAGACGGATGGCGCCGCCGTGCGTCTTGGCTTCGACAATGGTTGCGATCGTTGTCTGCGACACGTCCCGAGATTGAACAGCGACGCTGACGGGCTCGACAGTGAGTCGGTCGAGACCCGCATCGGTCCATTCCTTCGCCAGCCATGAGCCGAAGCCGCGATCGTTATCGGTCGGGGCGCGGTAGGCTTGCAGCGTGAAGGGACGGGCGAGGACTTCGGCGCCGTCGTACTGCAACGAAACGAGCGTCGCTGTATGCCGAGCGAAACGAGCGGTGAATCGCGGCCCCTTGAGCCGCACGCTATCCGCCGTCTCTTCCACTTCAAGCGGCTCTGCGGTTTTACCCAATACCTGCC